ATCGCCAAATCACGCTAATTCTATATTTTAGGAAGAAGTTGATGAGTGGTGCACGATATCCTCGAGCAAGACCATTTTCAAGGAATTTGCTATCGGGCCGTCCGACAAGCTGCATTGTTCTCTACAGTAAAATTTCATTTTCAGGGTGACTGCCTAGCTATAGTGGTTTTTTGAGTTGATTTTTCCTCCGCACTTCTGTATGGTGACAATAATTCATGGATCATCTCGAAGCTCTCGTCTGTTTTAAATGTGCACATATTTTGCTGTTTTTCTCGTAATGAATTAATCGGAATTTTAGGCTCATGCCATGAGGTCTAACGTGGGCTAGAGTGACCCCATTCTTCAAATATCATTCATTTCTCAAAATACAGCGAAACTAGTCAGCGATGTCCTCTGTTACTTAGTTGCAACTTCTCCTGAATGCTTTGCTAGTTTTTCAATGTGCCGACGGTAAAAATCTTCAGTTCGCCGCAGTAGCGGTCAAGCATTGAGTTCTGATAAACCAAAAATAGGAAGAATGCGATAAGACTTGCTGAGCAACCGCAAAGCGGAATCTTGAAAAAGCACTGGTCAAGAACATAGAGCACCCATCTCGATTCTCATAGAACACAGATTTCGAGAATTCGCCAGCTTGGCTAATTTTCGCCGACGGAACCTCTTATTTCGCAAGCTTGTAATCTAATAACCTTACAATGTATGAAAAAAGTGCATAGGCTTTCTGTAGAGCAATCGACTCTCTTTCAAATGACATATTTTTGCAAAAGGTTGAATTCAGAGGAGAATTTATAATATCACCCGATATAGGCGGCAACTTTCTTCTAAACTACACTAGTTGGATACGCGATTTTACCTAAGCTCGTTTCCTTTGGCCATGTGCAATGTCTCATAGCAAGTACGAAGTTGAGTGAACCAATACGTACTCCCATGTCCTGACATCCTTTTGTGCTTAATGAGAAAGCGGAAGTTTTTGTGAGTGAATTTGTAAAACATTGGAAATTTGTTCCAAAGAAGGCATCTGAGACGATTTAGATCAAGATTACTATATTTTATAGAACCAAGCCAAGGTTTCTACGCAAAAGGGATTTATTAGAGAACATAGCATTTTTTTCCAAAAAAGACAGCATTTTTGAAATAGCAGAAATTCGAGGTTCCCTATATATCTTAAAAACCAGTGCACAACGGAGAACGTTCGTATCTTTACGAAAATATGGTACCATTTCGAATAACGATGGATTTTGACTTCTAGGGATTTCAAACGAAGTTGCAGTTTTCTTTTCACCCTTGATTCTTGGGCAGCTTTTTTCAATATTGGTGATATTCGTGCAATTTGAGAAGAGGCTGCTATAGCTGGCACGGCTACTTGATGTCGATCTCTAGAAATGAAAAGGGCGACTCTTATGTGGATGACACCGAGGTCGGACCTAACAAAGTGGTCCGAGTACAGTCGTTTTGTTTGCAGGGACGGCCCCCGCTGCATATTTTTCAAATGTTCCTAAGCGGCCTTCTGCATATTTGAAGACGATCCTTCGCAAAAAATACCGTCAATTACTCCCCGTCGAACTCTGTAATGCATTCAGGCACGATGAGTTGTCTTGGGTAGAACTGAACCTCGAATACCAATCAGGATTATCCATCTCAAAAAGGGAACCCTTCGCGCCGGCGAAATATGAAGATATGCTGGAAAGATTAATCACGCTTGACGACGAAATAAAGTATAAATGTCCAGAACAAATTCACTTCCCGTCTGATTTCGAGTTCAAATGCCTAATGAACATTATCATAGCCAAATAAAGTAGCCAAATTATTGAACACAGAGGAGTGCTACATACACTTCGAAAATTTTCAAAAAATAGAGCGATCACGAACAACTTTGCACAGAAATGACAGGAACTTATATCCCATCCCAATATTAAGAATATTTACTATGGTGTCTTTTACAATTAAAATCTCAGGCACAGTTAATAATGCAAAAAGCGTCATGGAAAGAAACGAAACAGATGAATTGAATTTACTTTCATAACAAACATGAATCTTTTGACAAATGTTCTTACTCTGTCGCTTTCAATGGAAAATTTGAGGGAAAGTGTAACCATCACACACCAAAACCTCAAAATTATTTTTTCATTGAAACTCTGCTTTTAAAGGCATTGTAACTGTA